GTACAAATGCTGTCATGAGTATCTTACTGATCGAAACATATGGCTACATGACCTACAATAGCCAGTTATATAACAATATATGTCTGACTTGTACTAGTAGCCTATTTTCCTGTGACCCACAAAGAACAAGCGGAAGTGACGTAGCGTCATTATGGTCTTTTGGTTCGTACGTTCTAGAAAAGATGGCTGCTGTTGATATCGACGTGCTGGTAGAACCAGAGCTCTTGATCCGCAGTCAGGCTGATATGGAACGGTAACTATGTTTTGTTTTATTTTTATTTTTTATTTTTTATTTTAGTAAAAGCTTGGAAACCGTGCGGTATCACAGAAGACGAGCTATCCGCGGTAGCTCAGCTGCCATCCCCGTTGTTCGGGTTTTTCATAGCTTTTCATAACCCAGAGGAGGTATTTAAATAAATAATTTGTAGACCGTTTAATTTGACAGTTTGGCAAGAAATTATTTTATTCAACGGGCTATATTACTAATTCCCCGAGTTTCTTATCGCGTCTTCACTGATGGCTAGCTGAAAAGAAAAGAAAAAACGATCTGCAGCTAAAATTTCTGACTGCACTTGAACGTTATATGTATTTGAGTACTTTAACATGCGGTGTGGTGTCCAAGCCAAATTTACAGGAGTTTACTACTAGAAAGAAGATTCAAGATCATGGATTTATGAGGAGTGGGTTAGAATAATCTAACCTAACATTTACAGTTTAAATTTTAATTTAATTAGTCAGCTTTTGTAACATACAGTTCAATAATATCAGTCAGGTAAAGTTGTCTGCCTAATGACTTTTGTATAAATGAAACTGAAATTAACAGCTTTGTTGGTTACACATTGTGATTTCAGAAATAGTAATTAAGGCATATTTTTGCCCTTAGCATGATTTCCCAAAGGCACCTTCAACATGTGAAGTTGTAACGACTATAAGTGTACAACACGTTTCTGTGTGAAAATAGAGCTAAAGATGTGACGTTGGGTTTGACCCATAGAGAAAACCATAATTGACTGAGTCATTGGGCCTCGTTTGACAGAGTTGTAATAAAACCAGCTGGGTAAAACTTAACTAGATCTACTTCCTTGTTATAATTCCCTAACATTGTGTCCAGCGTAATTTACCTTTGTGTTTTTCCCTTACTTTGTTTATCTCTTGACTTTATTTGAACATCAATTTATGCCACTTATAAGCCTATTTAAAGCGTATAACAGCAGCTGGTTTATCCAAAAAGTGTTTTTTTCTTAAAGTCTCGTTTGCTTTTATTTTGTGGCTCCAAAGTTTGAAAACCACTCCGTTATAAAGTGCTAAGAGGACTAGATCAGGAGAAAATAAAAATTGCGGAGTCATTGTTTCTCAACCCTTCAGTAATGTACTTGTTGGTTTCTTGCCAGAAGAACTGTTTAATTCAGCACATGCTGTTTCATTTCGTTGAAAATAAACCATTTGATTGAACTATTTCTAAATCACTCCAAACAACTTTATTCTGTTCTATGCTCTCTTTTTAGCAAAGCAAAATKACTACCTGTGCATTACAGACAGTTTATAAGCTGATTTTTTGCTGACCTATTTATTKTTCAGACTCTACAAGATACTTTCAGAAAAGTGGAACAATGAATAAAATGATGAGCAGATTTCATAATAACCAGCCAGTGATTGTTTGGTTGTTATTTTTATTTCTAGTTCTTCATTCTTATATTTCTTTTTTTTAAATAGTTCTTTGTAGTTTATTTCACATTTTGTAAGAGTTCATAACAGCAGCTGTAGCTTGTTTTCTTTTTCTTTGCATTTTAAACCCTTCTTGCTGGAWTGCTGCAGGTGAGTTTTACAGCTACATTTAGTTCTGGACAGCGTGTACCCGGCTCTGGTGTCCCAGTTTCAGGTGAAATACGGGACAGCTGGATCTCCGTAAAATACTCAAACTTTGCCTCATCTGCAAAAGAAGAAGTACAAACGAATGAATACTTGTTCAGAGGGTTTAACTTTAACACAGATTTGTTTTTATCTGTGCACGCTTAATTTCTGTTTGTCCTCGTTCCAGTCAAGCTGAAGGCTTCAAGGAGCAGGGAAACGCATTCTACAGCAAGAAAGATTACTCTGAAGCGTTCAACTATTACACCAAGGCCATTGGTGAGATTAGAGTTAATCGCTAGGCTTAAGATTTCCACATAATCTGAATATTTACTGGTAGATGCCTGTTCCGTTGGCAGATGTTCACCTCTATTATATTTTCTGAATGCTGTCATTTTTACATTTTATTTTTATGTTTGTTTTTTTTAAAAGATGTATGCCCCAAAAATGCCAGTTATTATGGGAACAGGGCGGCCACCCTCATGATGCTTTGTCGCTTTCGTGAAGCCCTTGAAGACTCCCAGCAGTCTGTGCGTCTGGACGACTGTTTCATGAAGGTGAGTCACGTCCAGATGACCACGATTCACCCCCATGTGTCATTAAAACCATTCCAAACTCGGAAGAGTTTAAAAGATTATTCCGTTTATTTTGTTTGTTTGTTTTTAAATCACAGGGGCATCTACGTGAGGGCAAGTGCCACTTGTCTTTGGGGAACGGCATGGCGGCCAGTCGCTGCTTTCAGAAGGTCCTGGAGCTGGATCTCAGCAACAGAGAGGCCCAGCAGGAAGTGGGAACTTTTTTAAATTTTAAAAGAAAGCGTTGGCTTTGACTGCAAGTTGAGCTACATCTGTGTAGTTGGTTTGTTTCAAATGACAAACTGAATGTTGATTCGTTTTAGAAAAAGAACGCATCAGTGCTGCTGGAGTACGAGCAAATGGCAGATTTCGCCTTCGATAAACGGGATTTTCGAAAGGTAGTTTTATTAAACATCAATGCTTCTGTTTATCTTGTGTGACCTGGGAAGGTTTGTGTCACATGTCCAACAAAAACTCATGGAACAAGCTGTGAATTTCTCTTTCGCCTGCTTGATTTGTTGTCAAAGTCCTATTGCTCATATTTTTGTCTAAATGTAGTGACAGGCTTTAACTGGTGACGTCAGAGTGACGTTTGGTTATTCGTTCTGATTTCAGGTGGTGTTCTGTATGGATCGAGCTTTAGCTTTGGCCCCTGCCTGTCAACGATTCAAAATCCTGAAGGCGGAGTGTCTYGCTCTGCTTGGACGGTACCCAGAGGCTCAGTCTGTGGCGAGGTAAGAGAACAAGTCATTCATTTTTATTTATTTATTTTTATAAAGTTTATTCATTTAAAACAAAACAACATAAATTCAACATACAACAAAAACAAATCATAATTGAAAGATAGCAGAAGAAGAAAAAAAATCTTATGATTTCTGGCCCTTTTTCTCAAATAAATAAATTCAATCAAAAAATCTTCAATTTACAAGGTACAAAAAAAATTAAAGAAGAACAATAAAGG